CTTCTCTTTCATATAACCTACAAATTACACCTAAAAAACAACAATAATACTGGGGTGAGATAATAATATCAATGCGTTCCCCTATCCTATGAGTCCACTCGGATCTACAGGGTTTCTAATATATTTTTAACTCAAGTCTTCAACTTTCGTATCTTATGTATCACTCACACAACGTAACTAAGACTTATGTATCTAAGGGATATCCATAATGTATGGAAACATGTCACTTGAATTCATATAACTCAATAAATCACTATTCGGATTCACGAAACATCGATCCCCACCCGAACCTACGTCTAGGCCAAACTTGATTCACACATGCTCGTATGATTCGACTTTCACGGTGGATATCGGGTTCTCTATGGGACTCAAATCCAATTCAAGCAACCATTACTCATATGGGAATCGAACCCACTTTGAGTATCTTTCACTGTATGGGACTCAAACCCACTTAGGTGTCCATCTTTCCTCCATGTCCCCCAAGGTTGGCACTCAAACCCAATTGAGGCATAAATCATTGGTTCCACATTTCCATTTTTTACTTTATATAAGCATCTCAAATGGTATGTGCACAATCAAGGGAAAACATCTAAATACATGATTAGGTTCCACAACATCGTGACTACTCTCATCAATCACTAGGTTAACATATTCACCAATTCTGATGATATTCACTAAATACTAGGTGATCATATCCACCCATTCAAATTATATTTCACATGATCCATACAAAGCATATTGAATCATTAATCAAACTAATACTTATTTGCGATACACATTGATGCACCTTTGCATCCAAGCATCGCCACCTATGTCATTTTCATAACCTAAGTTAATCTTTATAGATCATTCACGTATTTATACTCCTAGTTTCCTCATTCATCATCATAAGTTTTTTTAATTATATTATTACACAATAAACACAAACAAAAACAAAAACTCATAATATAGTTCATAACATAAGAATATGAGTTCATCATTTCTAATCAAGCATTAATAAACATAGATGCATTATTTTACTTCATAAAGGATAGTTCATTGGATTAACATTCCAACGCATTTAACCTTGCGTCGAGTGGAGTTATGAATCCCGTTTTACGATGGAAACAGAGAAACAGGTCATAAATATATATAATAGTATAATACTAACAATCAAATTATAATTAATACATAAGCATGGTTTTATCTTAGAAAGAACTAAAGCATTGAACTAGCTTTCCAACTCATCCGACCGCATCTCATTTTGAGTTATGGAACTCATTTTATAGTGAAAACAGGAAAATCAATCGAAGGCTCGATAGGACCAATCGATTGCATCAACATTCTGCCATAATTTTCTCTAAAATGGAAGGGACCAATCTATTGGGCCATGGTGTGACACATGCAACTTCTCCAAAAGTCACACTTCTAAACATATCTTTTTCCATCCTTTATCATTCTAAATCATTCCAAACCATAGACTAACATATTCAAGCATCTCAAACCATGAATTTAATATCATACAAGGATGTACAACCAATTATATTCTAATCACTTCTTAACCTCATTAATCTCTAACAATCCAACTCATCCTATATTCTTTTAACACATGAAGACATATCATTTGAATTTCATAACACACATATTAACTTCATTCTCGTGAAGCTCTAACTATAACAACACAACTCATGTATTCAACAAGTCTTAACAACAAGATACAACATCAATAACATAGTTTCGCCACATATTCTCAAAACATTCACACAACATCATCATGGATTCCTAGCAGTAGCATAAAACATAGCAAGAATCATGTTTCAATCAAAATTTAACTAACAAAGTAAGAATCACAAAAACTCTAAAATCCAATTTTCATGTAATTTTCCCAAAGTTACAACTATCTAAGAACTCGCCTTAGATGAAGATGATGAAGAAAATGAGATAAACTGATAATAATAATGATGATGATTCTCCAAGGTTTTATTTTTCTCCCTCCAAATTTTCTCTTCTTCTTTCTCTCATCCTTTCTTATCCTCTTCTTTTCTTTCTCTTTATATCTTTCTTTTTCCTATTTCTGATTTTGTGTCTTTCTCTTTTTCTTATCCATTTTTTCTTCTTTCTCTTCACCATACAAATATTATATATATATATATATATATATATATATATATATATATATATATATATATATATATATATATATATATATATATATATATATATATATATATATATATATATATATATATATATATATATATATATATATATATATATATATATATATATATATATATATATATATATATATATATATATATATATATATATATATAAGAAATGGGGGAAAAATATCTTAAAGTGAGATTTTATCTTCTAGTATCAATTGATCAATTATTAATGTTATCAACATATCCTCTTTTGTGCTAATTAATAAAGGTTAGTTTCATTTGATAAGAATTTATCTCTTTAGAATCTACTGGTTATTTTATTTATCTCAACTGACAATATTTAGAGTACTTAAAGGTGTTTGGGATATTATATTTGTTGTTTAGTTGGTATTATTGAGTTTGAGATTGTTGAGATGTTCAACTTTTCTACTTTGCAAAATTTTGAAGGTTATATGTATTTCTTTAAGTGTTGTTATTGAGTTTGAGATTGAGGTTGAATTTATTATTAATTTCTCTCTGAACAAATAATTTATTAAATTATTTTTAAAAATAATAATATAAAAAATATTGTTGTATTTGAAAAACATCTTACACTAATTAATTTTTTTAATGTATTTTATAACTTTTCATTTATTTCATATTCTTTAATGGTTAAAATACGGAAGTAGCTTCATAATTCTATTGTTAAAATGGGTCATAATGATAAACTTTAAACTAATTATAAGTAAAATAATTTATTGTACAAAATCTTTATAATTAAAATAAATTGAATGAATTTTAAAAATAAAAATTTAATTTTATATATGCCCTATGAACACATGTTAACTTGTGAAAAACAAGATTATTTTATTGTTAATTGTTTATTTTTTAAAATTTTAGCTCTAGAAAAATGTCATTGTATATAGTTTTGAACTTTTTTTGTGTGTATTTATAGGTGGGTTTTTTTTAAATCTATAACAAATTGGTCCCTAGATATGTGTATATTATTTTATTTGTATATTTAATTTTCTAAGTAGAATGATATTGTATATGTTATCTATCAAATTATTCACCGTGTATTAGAAAGATCCTACAGTCCCACATGGGTTGGAGATAGAGCATTGAAATAGTTTATATAGGGTGACACCCCTCACCTTACCAACAGGTTTTATAAGGTTGTGTTAGGTCAAACTCTAATATAGTATCAGGTCATATCGATCGGATCTTGAACAACTCACCAACGGACTATACTGTAAAAGCCCCTAAGAATAAGCATAAAAAAGCCTTTCAAAAGGCTGCAACCTCCGGTTCATAAGCCAAACTACAACTAACCCTATCATTCCTTCCTTTCCATGTTTCAACTTTTTGAACCTAAAATTTCTGATCCACCTTAAAAAATTCGACCACTCTGTACCTTCCTCACTCCTATTGATACCAAACCACTCTGCATTTGAAAAGAAGATGATCCAAATTTTCCTCACAAGTATAACATGAAATACAAAAGAAATCATTAGGAGATGAAATAATACCTTTCTTTTGCAACTGATCCTTACTCGATAGCTTGTTGAAAAAACTCCTCCAAAAACTCCTCCACCCAAATGCTTTGACACTGAAAGGAGCAGAAGCTTTTCACCAAAAACTCCTCCACCCAAATGCTTTGACACTGAAAGGAGCAGAAGCTTTTCAAAGAGTAGAAAGAGCGGTGATATATGGACGTAGGTATTAGAGACCTAAGAAACTCAAAATGTGAAATATATGCTTGACATATGATATATTTTTGAGTTTATAATTTATAATTTATAAGTTCGTAACATAATAAAAGACTTGTTTAATAATAATAATTTTTATGGCAGAGCGAATAATTTATTTTACTAATTTATAATTTATTTTTTAGGTACTATTTTAAATAGCATTTTAGTTTATAGTTTATAATTTATCATTTTTTCATTTACTTTTATCTTTATTATTTTAACTAAAATCTAATTTTATTTTTTATAATTTATTTTAATTTAAAATAAAATAATTATATATTTAATGTTTTTATGTGATTTTACATTTATGAGATGGAATATAGTTTCTTAGTCAATCGTGTTAAAATTATATATAGGGATGGTTTAAATACAACTTATACTTTCTTCAATTTCTGCACTTGTTTCCTATGCAATATCATAGAGTTTTTTATTTTGTAGTTGGAATACTCGGTATCATGCAATTTAATAGAATACACTAAATAAAACTAAATAAATATTACAAGGATTTCTTATTAAACCAAAAAATAAAAAAGAGTTAAAACAAAGAGATTAAAAAAAAGTGTATTGTCAATGTAAAATAGTTTTATACTGTAATTCAATAAAATTATAATATTCAATCATGTTATATCAATATTTTAAAATATAAAAAATGTAACTTTACGGAATACATATTTTTCATTAATTGATGGTATAAAAATATTTTACATTAACAATGTATATTCTATTTTCAGTAAAACAAAAACAAAATAATATTGCATACGACAGCATATTAAAGCTTAAATGACTTTTCACACCTAGTAATACATCATACAAAGCCAAAATCATTTTCACTACTTCCACCATAAAAAATTATTTTCGTCATTTCAAAGCTGCTTGTTTCGATTCAATGAAGATTAGGGGATTATCTTCGGCTTAAATTTCTAGCTTTCGAGTTTAGGGGCCTTGGTAATTTTTTGGCTTTTATTTGGATCGAGACATTGGAGTTACCATGAGTTGGGAAAGGGTTTCCGGTAGAAAGGGTAGAAGTGGAAGTTTTTCCGTTTGGAAGGAGAACAAAGGAAAATGAGCTTCTTATGGTGAAATCACAACTTCATTCTTTGTCACTGAGTTTCCTGAAAACATGAATGCCAAAGATCTGTTTGAGGTCTTCAAGGTATATGGAGTCATATCAGAAGTTTTTATTTCTGCTAAGAGAGATAAGCGAGGTAATATATTCGGTTTCGCCAAATTTCAGAAAGTTCATAATCCAAGAATCCTGGCATGTAACCTTGATAGCATTGTTTTGGAAGGAAATAAAATCTATGTCAATGTACCCAGGTTTAGTAAAGAGAACAAAAGGTATCTTCCTGTTAATGAGAAGAACAAAAGGCACCTTTCTGATTGTGAAAATTTGAGGAGTAACTTTCAAACTGGTGGTACCAGGAACTTCTTGAAACCTAATATCCAGGATAGGTCCTTTGCCAAAGTGGTAAGAGGAGATTACCCTAAGTTTGTTGATAGGACCAAGGTAGGAGGTTATTGCACAAAACATGAGCTGGATGATGAATGGTCAAGGAGGTTGAATAGTATGAGAGTGGGTGAAGTCATGGAGGATGGAAATGCTTTCAACATTCAGAAGCTAATTTTTGAAGAAGACTACTTTAACATTAAGGCTACTCCATTGGGAGCTTCATTGTGTTTGCTGGAAGACACATCAGGTGGAGACTTAGAAGCTTTTATCAAGGAAGTTAGAGTATGGTTAGATGTCTGGTTCAAAGACATCCGCAAGTGGAAAATGGAGGAAATTGACAGGGATAGGATGGTGTGGGTATATTTCTATGGTCTACCTTGTGTCGCCTGGAGTGAGAAAAATTTCAGGAAGATTTCTACCAGCTTGGGATCGTTTGTTAAAAGTGATGAGAAGACGAGGAACAAAGAGAAATTGGATATAGCGAGATTTCTTATTAAAACAAGACTCATTAATATTCTGAATTTCTTGGTTGACATTGAAGTGAACAATCATACTTTTTCAATCTCAATCACAGAAGATTTTTCGTGTGGAAGGGTAGACCCTTTGTTTGGTGAAGAAGATGAGGTGATAGATTCAGATGAATTTGATTCCTCAAACCCATCAGATTCAGAGGGCGTGTGGGAGATACCTGAAGAGGAAGAAAGTGAAGATCTCAAATCCTTGTTCTCAGAGACAGGAGCCAGAGTTCCCAATATTGATATCCAAAAGGCAGATGGTGACTTCTCAGTGTCAGACATTGTATCAGTTGTTGGGGATAGCTTAGGGTCAAGTGTACAAGGAAATGGGATAAGAAGGAAAAATCATAATAAGGTTTCAGCCGCTCTGTTTAGTTCAGAAGGAACTAAACCAGTTAACTTTATGGCTGACCTAAAACTCACTAAGTCCAAAGCAGTTATCGAGGTACCCAGTCTTGATGGGGAATTGGTGGTAGACCTGGGTCTGCCTCATCCAATTAGTGGGCCTTTAGGAGGAGTTATTGGGCCTGCTGTTATAGGTAAAGCAAAAAAAAAACCTCTTCATGAGGTTTATAATTGCATTAAAATACCATACACTCCCTCTTATTTTTCCACTCTTCTTCTCACGGCTCCCAAGGAGAATCTTAAACCTGTGTCGAAAGGAAAAACTAGGGAGGATAATATGAAGAAAAAGTTGTCTAAAGAAATTTTTGAATCTAATTCAACTCTATTATGTTGCGAATCGATTACCGACACTGACGTGGAAAGGGGTGATTCGAGATGCAGAAGGGCCATTGTTGATGTTCCATCTAAATTGGGTGATTTTCTTAAAGTTCTGGGTATTCAGGGCGAAGATGAAGAGGTTATCGGGCGAACTTTGAGGATTTTGGATAACGCATATAAGGAAGCTGGTCAAGGTAAGAAGGATGTAGCTACTATTGATCCATGAATTTAATTTCTTTCAATGTTAGAGGCTGTTGTAGTTCCGTCAAGAGAAGGAGATTAACTCAAATTATTCAGAGAGGAAATGTCGACATTTGCCTTATTCAGGAAACCAAGGTTATCAAGATGGAGGATGGTATAGTTTTCAGTATGTGGAGGAATTTTGATTTGGACTGGTCAGCTCAGAACTCAGTTGGGAACTCTGGTGGAATTTTAACCATGTGGAATACTGTCAGAATCTCTGCTTGTTTTAGTTTTAGTGGGAAAGGATTCTTAGTCCTAAATTTTGTTTGGAATAACCATAGGTTGATGGTGATCAACGTTTACGTGCCTTGTGGATCAGCTGATAAGAGGAAGCTATGGAGAGATTTGATTAAAATTAAGAACAATTACCCTGATATTGGTTGGATCGTGGGAGGGGATTTTAATGCGGTGAAAAATAGGGAGGAAAGGAAGGGCATAAGTGGTTTTAACAGTAGGGATGTGAAGGAGTTATGTGATTTCATTGAGGAAATTAATTTGGTGGATTTACCGATGTTTGGGAGCCGTTTCACTTGGTTCAATTCTAAGGGTAAGAGCAAAAGTAGGCTGGATAGAGTTTTGGTTGATCACAGGGTTATTTATTTGTTTACTCTGAAGAATCTAGTGGTGGGGGATAGAGGCATATCGGATCATCGGCCGGTGTGGTTGAAGTCCAATTTCATCAATTGGGGACCAAAACCTTTTAGGACTTTCAACTGTTGGTTCTACCACAAGGATTTCATCCCGTTCGTTACGAAACCGTGGCGATCTTACCAATTTACAGGTTCTTTCTGCAGCATCCTTACTAAGAAATTTCAAGCTCTTAAATCAGACCTCAGGATTTGGAATCTCAAAGTGTTTGGTTGGCTGGATTTGAACATAGAGGATAATATCTATAAGTTCAAAAAGCTGGAACTGGAATTAGATGTGGAGTCTAATCAGCAATCTACCGATCTGGACAAAGAGAAACTGCGGTACCAGGAGGAAATGTGGAAGAATATGCGGATTAAAGAAAGCATGATAGCCTAGAAATCCTGGGTTAGTTGGCTCCAAAATGGGGATCTTAATACCAAATGTTTTCACGACTCCCTTAAATCCAGGCATAGGTTGAATCATCTCTCAGCTATTGTAGTGGAAGACAGGAATGTGGAAGAACCTGAGAATATTAAGGATGAAGCGATTAAGTTCTTTAAGGACAAATTCACGCAATCAAACTCGAAAAAATTCAGAAGTGATTTGGCTTTGGCTGCCTGTCTAGATGAGGAAGACAAACAGTTTCTGGAAACAAATTTTAGCACCTTTGATGTTACAAAGGCTATTTTTAGTTGTGACGGTAACAAATTCCCCGGTGTCGATGGATTTAATTTTAAATTCATAAAATCATGTTGGGAAATAGTAGGTCAGGACTTCTCGAATTGCATTTTGGATTTCTTCAAGACAGGATTTCTCCCTAGGATGTTTGCGTCCTCTTTCATTTCGTTGGTTCCGAAGATCTCCAATCCGCAACAATTTGAAGATTTCAGGCCAATTTCTCTTATTAGTTGTATCTCCAAGGTAATCTCCAAGATGCTTGCTTGTAGTTTGAGCAAGGTTATTCATAAAATTATATCTCCTTCTCAAACAGCTTTTATACCGGGTCGACAAATTTACGATGGGGTTCTGCTGGCCAATGAAATAGAAGATTATGCTAAGAGATTTAAAATGGAATGTCTGTTTTTCAAAGTCGACTTTGCTAAAGCCTACAACTGTGTCGGCTGGATTTTCCTAGATGAAATGCTTGTTAAGATGGGTTTTGGTCTTAATTGGTTAAAGTGGATTAGAGGATCAGTGTTCAAGAGTTACGTTTCGATCCTTATTAATGGAAGTCCTTCGAAGAATTTCAAGGTTGGAAGGGGTCTGAAGCCACTACGCCAAAATTGATATTTTGTATCGCCTAATTTAATAGCGTTTTTAAAGAAAAGTGCTATTAAAAAGGAAACAAACTGATTTTGATAACACTTTGTAAAAAAATGCTATTATTAAACTTCACTAAGATAGTGCTTTCTTTAAAATGCTATTAATATTCTTCACTAAGATAGCGCTTTTAAAGAAAGTGCTATTAAAAAGAAAACAAAATGTGATTTTTGTTTACACAACATTATTAAACTTGACTAAGATAGCACTTTCTTTAAAACGCTATTAATATTCTTCACTAAGATAGCGCTTTTCAAAAAAGTGCTATTAAAAAGGAAACAAAATGTGATTTTTTTTTACATATCATTATTAAACTTCACTAAGATAGCACTTTTTTTAAAACGCTATTAATATTCTTCACTACGATAGCACTTTTCAAAAAAATGCTACTAAATTTTTTCACTAAAATAGTGCTTTTCAAAAAAACGCTATCATTAGACTATATTATAAAATATATAATAAATAATAAAATTAATTAAAAACCAAACCCTAGTCATCGTCGCTCCATTATCATCGTCGCTCCATCTCCACCATCCAAACCCTAGTCATCGCCGCTTCATCTCCACCATCCAAACCTTTCTTCCTCTCCGTCGCCATTATCATCGCCTCTACCATCCCTCTAATCCGAACCCTCATCTTTTTCTCCTTTCCACTCTCTTCCTCACACGAAACCCCTTTCTCCTTCTTCTTCTTCAAAACCATTGAATCTCTTCCTCATCTTCTCCGACAACCATCGCCTAAAAAACCTTTCTTCTGGTTAATCTTCTTCACCCCCATCAACTCTCACACAAACCTTCACAAAAAATCGTGATCTTGAATACCTTCACCAACCATTATCGCGATCAAACTTCAACTGCAGGGGAGAGTTGAAGCTATGGCCTTCTTTTTGTTTTGTTCCGCCGTGAATCGTAAACCCACTCCTCACCTAAATATTTCTCAAGCATGCACCATAAACATCCGAGGACTGTTCATTACCGCATCGACAATGTTGATAGTTACACTTCGACCCTGAAGCATTAGTTGTTTCCTCTGCCGTTGTGATTTCATTGCAGTAGTAAAGAGTGGCTACTGAAGGGATTCAAGTGGTGTCAACAAATTAACATTTCAGAGCACATATTGCCGAGAGAGAGAAAGTCGCCTTTGGTGTATCAGTGTATGTATGGTCTATTTAATAGTAATAAGTCTGTAAAGTGTGTATTAAAATAATATTGCATTTGTAACAGGTGGTGATGCCTACAGTCGATTCTGATGTTGCATTTGGTCTTGGTAAAATCAATTTGGCCGATGATGAAGTCAGATCCAGGGTGTCCCAAGCTTTACATGTTGTCGGTTTAGCTGACTACATGAAGGTATTATGGACTTCGACTTGAACGCCAAAACAAATGTGTGAATTGTACGTATAATAAATGAACTTTCCCTATGTTGCAATGTTCAGAGATCTGTCCAAACTCTGAGTGGTGGCCAGAAGCAGAGGGTTGCCATTGCTGGTGCTCTAGTAGAAGCTTGTAAGGTTCTGTTGTTGGATGAGCTCACAACATTTGTGGATGAAATTGACCAGGTGATCTTTAAATTGCGATGTTTTATGCCTTCATTGCCATGTAATCATGGTAATCAGCCCTAATGATAAATTGCAAATTGTCTTTGAAGTTTGGGTATGATGTTTCAGCTTATGCTCTCTGCATGTCACTTGTTTTTAGATTACTTCAAGCACAATTGCCTTATTTGTCTTGTAGAAAATTTCCATGTGATGCTTTTATTACTAATAGCGGACCTACAATTAGTGAATGCAAAGGTAGAAAGGAGAAGTTGTTTTGTTGCTTGTATTTAAACGCTGCCACTCTTCATGATACCTGGAGGGCTAAAGTAGTCATCAAGCATGCAACAATTCTGTTGTTTCATGTTTTTAATGAATTCTACAAAAATGTTCGCAACCATTTTTTTATTTGCCATTTATTTTTTAGGTCTAATACTACAGAAGGCTACAACACCACTGTTGCAGCATATCATGAGTTTCTTAGCAGAGCAAGCAAGTGGCTATCACACAAAGCAATTGATGTATGTATACTGAATTGGACTAACCTTCCTGACATTTCTACCTGTGCAAGGATTTTTTAGGTAATTCCGTTGACTTTTTTTCTTTGACTTGAACTGATTTTTTACCTGTGCAAGGACATTTTCTCCTTAAAATCCAAATGGGTTTGGAAAGTGATGTTCTAAATGTGTTGTTGTTGTTAGGGGTGGGATTCAAAGGGTTTTTTATGTTAACTGAGATAGCACCTGTTGGGTGAGATAACAAACCTTGTTGACTATTCCAACTAGCTTCTGATGAAGTTGTAGGTGTTGCAGTATGGAAGGATCGAGCTCTATAGTTTCTGATGTTTGAATAACTATCTACCATGGAAGAAGCAGAGGAGTATCTTGTGTTATCTGGTATAACAATGTCCTCTGTTAATGTTTCATTGTTTACATTAACCATCACATGTGAAACTCTGCTATTGTTATTGCTGTTACTTTTAAAATATTTGTGGGCATCGAATATGCTGAGTCAGGTGAATTTTCTTTATGATGCTAATACACTATAATTCATGTTAGTTGTTTCATAGTTTATGTTCTAATACTTGGTTTGAAAAATAGGATATTGGATACTCGAAGCTTGCGCATTTGGCTCCGCAGTATGGACTGTGTAAGACTCTTGTCTCAAATCCGAAGTTTTATTTTTAGAATTTTATATGTTGAACCAAAATTTTGTTATAGACTCAAGCTTTGTTCCACCACTGATTTATGCATTTATGGGGAGTTCTCGCAATATAGTAATAGGACCGGTGGCTGTGGTTTCTCTCTTGATGGGGACTTTGCTTAGTAACGAGATTGATCTGGTTGCTCATAAAGAAGAATATCAAAGACTTGCTTTTACAGCCACATTTTTCGTTGGGATTACACAAGCAACTCTTGGTATTTTCAGGTATATCCTACAAAGCACTGATACAGACACCGACACAGACACCAGATATACATGTATTACAAACGTTACCCTATTTAACATATCATATCATGATCATCTTATAGTTAGGTTGGTTCTCTTCTTTTTTTATGCCGAAAAAACAGGTTAGGATTTTTGATTGATTTCCTATCCCATGCTGCTATTGTTGGTTTTATGGGAGGTGCTGCCATCACAATTGGCCTTCAATAGCTAAAGGGTTTCCTTGGCATTAAAAGCAAAATGTTCACAACAAAAACCAATATTGTCTCTGTGCTGCATTCAGTTTTCTCATCAGCCAAAAATGGAGTATGATCTCTTTCTCTTTATCTCTCAATATGCACAAGCAAGTTATAAACTAAATAAGAAAAATGAGAGTAGCAAAAGCATCTGATGCCTTTGTCGAACTAGCAGATGTGAGTGGTTACGCGCTAGTCGTGGTTCCATCGGCAAAAGGAATGGTTCTGGAGCACCGTCCTCATTTCATCGGTACTTATTGGGGTGCTTCGAGTATTGCATTTTGTTCCGAGATTGTGGAATCCGCTGATGCGTACTTGTTTGTCGGTCCCATTTTCAACGACTACAATTTTGTTGGGTATTCACTTCTTCTCAAGAAAGAGAAGGCGATTATCGTTCATCCCAACCAGGTTGTAATTGGTAATGGACCTGCATTTGGATGTGTGTTGATGAAGGATGTGCAATAAGAACATTATGAAACCATGCTATGACATGTTCATAAGTTGTTTTCAACTTGTTTCTATAAACTCTTCAGGATAGTTTTTGAAAGCAGTTTATAGCTTTTGCAAAAACAATTATGGAAATAGCTTATAATATGCGGTTACATATGATAATAAGCTGTAAATTAAGCTGATTATATATATGCAATTATGAAAATAGCTTTTAAACTTGTAATGTTATCCACTAAAAGATTATTATGGGTCTGTGTTTCCTATGAATATCATAGGAGATTAAATGTTTCTTTGTTTGAGCTTATTGTTTCATCCGGTTTTTCTATAGGGCTTGACAACTGGTGGACTTCCAACTTTTGTAGATGTTGGTAATACCTTTGGTACACCTGCTATTGTTGAAGATAATTTCATTAATCAGGTGGTTTTTCTTTTCGATTTTTCCTTGCCTCTAATATTTGTGCTTTTAAATATTGGTTTAGTTTTAAATTTGAAATTGCTCCATGTTTCTATATTACTCAAGTTAATACGAATTGCCGACAAGGCAGTTAGACCCAGTTCTAATTCTAAATACATATTTGTCTACCTACAGTTGTTTCAAAATGGGAAGAAAGTTGTTATGATGGGGGATGATACATGGACACGGTTATTTCCTCATCATTTTGAAAGATCATATCCATGCCCTTCTTTTAATGTCAAAGATCTCCATACGGTAGGCCTTATATTGTGTTAAGTTTGACTTTGGACTGACTTTTTAATCCTTGCAATACATGTTAATTGAGTAGTGGTGGTTTGCATCTTTTTGTCTGGTCTATCATTCAGCAATTGTAATATGACATTGCTTATTTTTTAGGTTGATAATGGATGCATTGAACATTTATTTCCATCGCTATATGAAGAAGATTGGGATGTTCTTATTGCACATCCAAAATAAAGACAGCTTATGTTTCATTGAAGTTATTGTTCACAAGGATGACACTAGCAAAGAATTGCTTGAGTGGGGCTCCAGGGTCTCTGCAGAGAATTACTTTTTGTTTGGAATTTGGTTTGAAGTACTCTTAGGCAAATTAATAACTAGTGGCAAAAGTTTTAGCTTTATTTCATTGAGATCAACGTTGAATATGATTTGTTAATTTGTTTGTTATCATTTACCACTATTATGTAGTGTAGATTGATCTATATACATAGATATAATTCCTTCTGTGTTTATTATGGCAGTGGTAGATATACATGGTATCACATTTGTTCTTGAATAAGTGGTTCTATTTCATTTTCAAATATTTTAGCTGCTTAGTCATTATTATTTTATGAATTCTAATATCGTAAAATGCAAATGCCATATATATGCTTAGCCATTATTATTTTATGAATTCTAATGTCGTAAAATACAAATGCCATATATATATATATATATATATATATATATATATATATATATATATATATATATATATATATATATATATATATATATATATATATATATATATATATATATATATATATATATATATATATATATATATATATATATACCAAAAGAATGATTTTGTGTAAAAAAAAAAAGTGTACTACAATAGCGTTTTGAATAGGGATTGCTATTAAAGATACGTACTATAATAGCACTTTTATGGAAAAGTGCTATCTAATATGTGTCTTATAATAGCGCTTTGTTTGAAAGTGCTATCAAAATCAAAGCAAATTACCGATACTATAATAGCACTATTGGAAAAACGCTATTAATTACCAGTACTATAATAGCGCTATCAAATTTTTTTTTTACAATAGCAGCTTGGTTAATAGCACTTTTAAGCGCTATTAAAAAGAAAAAAAACGCTATTAAATAGCTTTTTTGTAGTAGTGAGCAGGGGGATCCTTTGGCTCCGTTTCTGTTTGCCATAGCCGCAGAGGGCTTATCTTGTTTAGTCAGAGTTGCAGCTGCCGGTAACTTGTTAACAGAATTCAAGATTAATGATCAAAGTTCTGAGAGCATGCTTCAGTTTGCGGATGACACTCTTCTTATAGGAGATGGATCGGTTATAAATATATGGGCTTTCAAGGCTGTCCTGCGCGTGTTCGAATTGATTCTGGTTTGAAAATTAATTTTTCTAAAAGTTGTCTTTACGGTATAGGAGTAGACCCTGCTTTCCTTGCTGCAGTAGAGGAATTTCTGCATTGTGAATCTGACAGGCTGCCGTTCAGTTTTCTCGGTCTCCAGGTTGGAGGAAATCATCGTCGACATTCATTTTGGAATCCGGTTCTTTCTCGTATGAGGAGTAAACTATCAAGTTGGGCTGGAAGAAATCTGTCAATGGGAGGTAGAGTATTCCTCATAAACTCGATTTTAGCTAACTTGTCTATTCATTACTTGGCTTTCTTCAAGGCACCCAAGAAAATCGTGAACGATATTATCGCAATTCAAAGGCGCTTTCTCTGGGCTGGAAACTCTAGTAAAAAGTTCATTTCTTGGATATCATGGAATTCCATCTGTAAGCCGAAGGAATACGAAGGTTTGGGCATTAAACACATAGGTTGTTTTAATTGTGCTCTTATAGCAAAATGGAAGTGGAGATTTCTAAACGGTGGAAATGAAATTTAGAGAAAAACGTTGAATCTCAGATACGGTAACTTGAGCATGAAGGTGAAAACTTTCGCCGACGTCGGTAACTTGAAATTAGACTTTCTTTGGATGAAGGATATTATGTCAAGTTCAGCCTGCGACTTCAATGAGGACTTCTGCAAGTTTACGTTTGCACTATTGGAGAAGGTCACAACACGGCGTTTTTGACAATCAATTTGGATTAGAGATATTCCGCTTAAAAGTAGGTTCCAGCGGCTATTTTAGGCCTGTTCCAGGAAAGTTTCGACAGTCAACGAGATGGGTTCTTGGGAGGATGGTCAATGGGTTTGAAAAGTTAGAGAATCGTTGATAGATGACGGTTCCAATTTTATACCAGATTGGACAAATTGTAGTGTTTTGTTGGATCAGATGGCTGTCACCATCAATGTCGGCGATAATTGGAAATGGCTACTTCATTATTCTCTTTCGTATAAGGTTAGATCTTTCTATGCTGCTTTATCCTCTTCCTCCTCTGCTTCTGTTCATATTATTGGAAATGATAGTGCTGCTCTTCTGGAGATCCTTTGGAAAACGGCGTTACCGGCAAAAGTCCAAGTTTTATTTGGACGTTGGCGCTTGATAGGTTGCCTACCAGATCCAATTTGATGAAAAGAAGGGTGATTGACTACTCTCAAAACTCGGATTGTGCGTTCTGTTCGTCAAGCTACGAGGACGTTTCACATCTTTTCTTCTCGTGCTCTAAATCCTCATTGTTGTGGAATAGGATTTGCGAGTGGGTGGATATAGAGTACATTTCGGAGGATTGTTGTAGTCTTCATGCGAAAGTTTGGAAATCGAGACTTCTGGGCCACTGCAAAGAGAACAAGATCAACTCTATTTGGTTCATTTCTTGTTGGAGTTTATGGAGGGCTAGAAATAACATTATTTTCAGTAATGCTTCTATTGACGTTGACGACATTGTATCCGATATTAAAGTTATCTCGTGGAATTGGTTGATATTAGGTAGACAGGATAGTAATCATTGTAGTTTGTACGATTGGTTTAAATTTCAATTCGATTTTATATAACAGTATTGTATTAGGCTCTGTTTGTAATCTTGCAGTTCAAAAATTTTCTTAATCTCTTTAATATATTATTGCTTATAAAAAAAAATACATCATACACAACAAAGGGTGGAAAAGAGAGATACAAAAATGAACAAAAGAAAATAACATTTTAATGAAATAAAAGAGAGATAGAAAAATCAAAGTAGATATCTCACTCTTTGTCTCTTCTACACAAAATTGAAGTAGAAAAATTGAGTATTACGTGTAACAACAATATTCACATGTGAATGAGTACACGTTTACGGATGAAAATGAAAGAAAATGATTAGTATCTCACTCTTTGTCTCTTCTACACAAATTTTCTTTTAAAGTATAGTGATAGCCTTATGCTTTCATTTTTCTGTGGACAATAAAGGAAAGAGTATAGCTACCAAGTACATATGGAGAAAATTATGAGCAGAGGTGTGAGAAAAGGTGCATGGACACGTGAAGAAGACAAGTTACTAAAAGCTTGTATTGACAAGTATGGTGAAGGAAAATGGCATTTAATTCCACAGAGATCAGGTATACAATATTGATGCTTATATACTTTTGGGCCATGTCTATTTTTAATTTTAATATATTTTCCCTTTCAAGAACAAAAACTATATATATATATATATATATATAGTATTATTTAGTATAATCTTTTTATATTATTTTGTTAAAATATTAATTACATGCATTTGGCAGGATTGAATAGGTGCAGGAAAAGTTGTAGATTGAGATGGTTAAATTACTTAAACCCCACCATTAACAGAGAAAGTTTTTCTGAGGATGAAGTTGATATGATTCAAAGGTTACACAAACTTCTAGGAAACAGGTAAATATGTTGTCAAAGCCAAATTGTTATTTAATTATATATATTTAAAATAAATTTAGTCAAACACTATGTGAAAAAAAAATATCATAAATAGTTTATTCTAAATATAAAATTGTTTAGAAATTATGTTTAAAAAATTTAATATTACATATTGATTTTTTTTCTAGTTGTATTTGCTAAAATCAGCACAATACTTGAATTTCTGTCTCATTTCAATATCTTTGTGTTTAAATGAGTGAATACAGAGAAAATAATATTTTTTATGTTCTTTCTTTTCATAGATGGGCATTAATTGCTGCAAGGCTTCCGGGTAGAACATCTAATGACGTGAAGAATTATTGGCACACACATTTGCGCAAGAAGATGATTTCAAAAAAATTAAAAGAAAAAAAAGAAAAACAGAAATCTAATGAAACTTTGAAAGCTCACGAAGTTATTAAACCTCAACCTCGAACTTTTTCATCTCATTCACCTTGGTTGAATGGGAAAAATAATGTGAAAATTAAAGATGTTAGTGTTGCTAAAGATAGTAACATAAAGAGTATTATAACACCAATTATTGGTGATGGAGACTGTGCTGCACCCCCATGTCTTGGAAACTCAACACTGTCAACCATGTGGTGGGAAAGTTTGTTGGGAGCTAACAATGACAAAATTGGTTCATGCTCTTTATTACAAGAGGAGGGAAATTCCATTTTAGGGTTACCAAATATTGAGAACTATTTTGTTGAAGTTCCCAATAATGTAGGTGATTGTAATTGGGATTTTAGTCTTTGTGAATTTGATTCTCTTCTAGATATTTTAAATTAGGATTTGAATGTTATTGTGCAACAACAATACAATTAAATATATATCAAAATAAGTTTTATTTATTTATTATAGATTTAATTGTATTTGTATTTTTTTTTAACCAAAGTGATTGTATTAAATGTAGAAATTGTCTAGTTTGGTCCTTATTACATTCTCAATCCAGATTTTATTTTTATCATGAATTGTTTTTTTGGGCCAACATATATCCATGAATTTGTACTGACACTTTTATTTTGACCTGACATCCTCCATTATATATAATTTTATCAAAATATCTCTAATAAATATATCTAATTATTGAAAAAACTATGATTTCAAAAATTTTTTCTCAAATTTTATTTTTCTCAAATTTTACAAATTCATAATTTTTTTCTCAAATTTTTTTAATATTTATCGTTTTTTTAAATAAATTTTACAATTGTTTTTTTAAACATATATAAATTCATAATTTGTTTTCAAAAATCTATGATTTCATACCATTTTTTTATCTGATATAAATTCATATTTTTATTCTAGAATTTTCAAATATCCGGTATAAAATTATAGATTTTTTAAATACAAATTATAATTTTATACCAAATTTATAAAAACATACGGCAATGATAACTTCGTTATTTTATACTCCTACTCGATAAGAACTGCCAAAGTTTTTAAAAATCCAAAAATTAACATGGTTTTATCTGTTTTTTTTTTAAGTTCCAAAAAAATGCATATTTGGAGGAGTTCTGATGTGGATTGGTCAACCCTTAACTCTAATGACAGATCTGGTGGAATTATTACCATGTGGAATAGGTCAAAAGTTACAGCTTTATTTAGTTTTTGCGGTGCTGGTTACTTGGGCATTCAATTTCTGTGGAAGAATCAAAACTTTACTGTGATTAATGTCTACGCTCCGTGTGGCTCCGCTGACAAAAGGAAGGTTTGGAGGGAGCTCGCTAAAATTAAAAGTAATTTATCTAGAACTGGATGGATCGTGGCGGGAGACTTTAACGAGGTTAAGTTTGATGAGGAAAGAAAAGGTTTAAGTGCTAACAACATGAAGGATATGGAGATTTTCAGAGAGTTTATTGCTGAGATGAATTTGACGGATCTCCCGGTGATAGGTAACAAGTTTACTTGGTTCAGTTCCAATGGCAATTGCAGAAGTAGATTGGACAGGTTTTTGGTGGATGATACTGCAATATCAATGTTGTCTCTGGTAAATCAATTGGTGGGCGATAGAGATATTTCAGACCACAGGCCTGTGTGGTTGAAGTCGAACTTTGTGAACTGGGGGCCAAAACCTTTTAGGTCCTTCAATTGTTGGTTTTCTCATAAGGATTTCATTCTGTTTGTTAAGCAGTCGTGGAGTTCCTACCATGTCTCAGGTTCTTACTGTAACATTCTGATAAAGAAATTATCTGCCTTAAAAAGTGACATTCGGATATGGAATCGTAATGTTTTCGGCTGGCTAGACTTAAAGTTAGAAGAGAAGGTTTCTAACCTTAATTCGTTAGAGCTGGACAGTGACTTGATCTCTTTCTCCAACAGCGAAGAGTTGAACAAGGATAGATTGAGAATCCAAGAGGAGATGTGGAAGAATCTCAGGTTAAAAGAAAGTATGTTAGCTCAAAAATCCCGCTTAAAGTGGCTTCAAGATGGGGATCAAAACTCCAAGTTTTTCCATGAATCATTAAAATCAAGATACCGTTCGAACTGCATATCAGCTATTAGAGATGGAGAAGGGATAGAGGAAGATCCTGAAGCCATTAAACGTGAAGCAGTTAAGTACTTTAAGGAGAGATACAAGACAAATTCAGCGCCAAAGTTTACAATCGATTTCGACCATGTGGTTTGCTTAGGTGAGGAAGACAGGATATGGCTGGAAGCTGATTTTAGCCCTGTATAAGTCAGATCTACTGTCTTCAGTTGTGACGGTAATAAATGCCCTGGTACCGATGGTTTTAATTTCAAATTCATTAAGTCTTGTTGGGAGATTATGGGTGACGATTTCTCGAATTGCATTTTGGAATTCTTCAAAACTGATTACCTTCCGAAATCCTTCGCTTCTTCTTTCATCTCGCTTGTCCCGAAGACTAAAAATCCTCAACAATTCGAAGACTTTAGACCTATCAGCCTCGTCAGCTGTGTGCTGACGGTTATTTCAAAGATGCTCGCGAGCAGGCTCAGGAAGGTTATTCATAAGATTATCTCTCCTTCTCAAACTGCTTTCATCACGGATCGGCAGATTTACGACGGTGTATTGTTGGCTATCGAGGTGGCTGGTTTTGCAAAGAGATTCAATAAGGATTACTTTTTCTTCAAAGTTGATTTTGCTAAAGCTTATGATTGTGTGGATTGGCGTTATCTAGATGATTTGCTTGTAAAGATGGGGTTTGGAACAAAGTGGATGAAATGGATCAGTGGTTCTATTTTCAATAGTTTCGTATCCATTCTCATTAATGGAAGTCCGTCGAAGGACTTTAGGGCCGACAGGGGTCTGAAACAGGGCGACCCTCTTGCCCCTTTCCTGTTCGTTATAGCAACAGAAGGGTTGTCTAGCTTGGTGAAAACGGCGGTTGCCGGTAATATGCTCTCCCAATTCTTGATTCATGGCCAACCAACAATGAGTATTCTCCAATTTGCTGACGATACTCTTCTCATTAGAGATGGGTCGGCGTCTAATATTTGGGCTTTCAAAGCTATTCTTAGGGCCTTAGAGCTAATTTCAGGTCTCAAAACCAATTATTCCAAAAGTTGTTTGTATGGGACTCATATTGAACCTGACTTTTTAGTGGCTGCTGAAGATTTTCTTCATTGTAAATCCAGAAAGATGCCTTTTAACTTCCTTGGTATCACAGTTGGAGGTAACCATCGGAGATACTCTTTCTGGAAATTGGTTCTGCTGTGTCTGAAGAATAAACTTTCCATCTGGAATGGGAGAAACTTATCTATGGGGGGTAGAGTTACCCTCATTAATTCGGTTCTTGAAAATCTGCCTATCCACTATCTGGCTTTCTTCAAGGCTCCTCAAAAGGTCGTGAAGGCTTTAATAACGATCCAACGGCGGTTCTTATGGGCTGGGAACTCGAGCAATTCTTTTATCCCTTGGGTTTCTTGGAATTCTGTTTGTAGATCTAAGGAAGATGGCGGTCTGGGTATTAAGCATGTGGGTCGGTTCAACAGTGCCTTGTTAGCAAAGTGGCTCTGGAGGTTCCAAACTGGCGGCAATGAAATATGGAGAAACACCCTCACTATCAGATATGGTAACCTTAGCATTAAGACGCAGACTTACTCCGATGTTGTTAGTTCGAAATCTGATCCGTTGTGGATGAAGGATATTATGACCAATGCGTCATTAAGATCTCAGTCCAACTTCTGCAAGTTCACGATCTGCTCAATTGGTGAAGGTAATGATATGGCGTTCTGGCAGTCAATCTGGATCGGCGACATGCCGCTAAAAGTCAGATTTAATGGCTTGTTTCAGTGCTGCCCTTTGAAGTCAGTGTCAATCTGTAACATGGGATACTGGGAGGATGGGCAGTGGAATTGCAACCTGAGAAATTCGTTGTTGGATTCAGACAATCCCCCTGAGTCAGATTGGTCTGACTGCTGTAAGTTGCTGGAAAATATCTCAGTTATCCCGGGTGAATCCGGCAAATGGCGGTGGAGTCTTCATGAATCTCTAATTTTCAAGGTTAGCTCTCTTTATCTAATCATATATCCCTCTCTATCTGAACAAGACATTGGCTCAGATTGTGCTTCCCATATTGGGTCCATTTGGAAGACGGTTATTCCGGCAAAAGTTCAAATGCTCAGTTGGAGATTGGCGCTTGATAGATTGCCTACGATATCTAATCTTTTGAAGAGAAGGGTGCTTGATTCCGAGAAAGATTTGGATTGTGTGTTTTGTTCCAGTAGCCTAGAGGACGTTTCCCATCTTTTTTTCTCGTGCTATAAATCTACTCAGGTTTGGAACAAGATATGTGAATGAGCGAATATAGACATAATTTCGGAAAATTGTTGTTATTCTCACGCTAAGGTGTGGAACACAAGCCTTAGAGGTCGGTGTTAAGCGAATAGAGTTAATTCGATCTGGTTTATTACTTGCTGGAATATCTGAAGGTATAGAAATGATTGTATTTTTAATAATGTAGTTACTGAGGTCAACAGTATTGTTTTCGACATTAAACTGAATTCTTGGAATTGGTTGATTCTAGGCAGGAAGGGGGGCAAGTCGTGTTGCTTGTACAATTGGTTCAAATTCCCTTTCGACTTCTTGTAATTGTATATTGGTTTGAGATTTCCTTAATCTCCTTTTTAATATTATCTGCTTATCAAAAAAAAAATATTTTGCGCGCGAGAGAAAATTTTCAGCATCTTGTATATGAAAAAAATGAGAAAATATTTTAATCAATATAAAAAATTAGGGGGTGTCAGGTTTAATTGGAAAGTTGACATAACAAATTCTCGAGCCATCCTATTAATATCCCTATGATTATGTTATATGGATTCGTTTTTAAAGCAACAGTTCATTCCTAATTTATTTTGCAAAACATTCATGTGTTGATTAATTCTAAATAATCATCATCGTTATTATCATCATTATTTTAATCAATGATGAAGATTATTATGATTACAGAAATGAAGATGATTTAATTTTTCAACATATTTGATGTTATGCAATATAAATTAATAGAGAACGAACTATTACTTGAAGAATTTGAGATGATAAACCAAGTTCTACGTGTTAAAGAGAGATATAGATGAATTACGAGATAGATGCAATTTGAAAATCATGTTTGATCTAAGTTGCATTTTAAATATAACTTAATTTTCAAATTATTATTTTATAAATCACTTTAAATGAATGCATGTTTAATGAGGGAATGAAACAAACAATTTACATACATTATAATAAACTCAACAACAACATATACATCAACAAATCGACAACAACATTCCTTTTATTGAATAATCGGAAGTTGATCTACCTTGTGTTGTCATGAGAAAAAAGTACA